CAGAATTTCATATTGAATTTGAAAGTTGTTTTTTAGATCACACTGATATTCGGTATTATTAATGTATTTCGCTTTATGCTCAGAAACTAAATAAAATTATATAAATAACAATTAATACTCATTCCTATGTTCTTAAAACTATGATTACGAAAAAAACGGTGCTATGGCTAAGGGCTTACATGGGCTAAAATTCGTACAAAAAATACTTTAAGTTATTAAAATAAGAAAATTAAAAAAAACTTACAGTAATCGAATTTGCAAAACCTTAAATAAGTATTAATACGGGAAATTATGCTAAATAATTTTTATTAATACGCAATAAGCATAATACCACAATCAGATGTAGTATTTATTTTTCATTCAAAGCCAAAGCACCCCTTCTATTTCATTAAATTCCACTTTATAAAAAATAAGTGCATGTATATAAACTCCTTCTTACAAAATGAACAACATCACAAATTTGTATTAAGAAAATATTTTAATTCTTTCAATGCAATAAAATCTGTTCCTTGTAGTAATAAATTGATATGTGACACTCTAATTGTAAAAATTAAACAAATATTACACATCTAAATCATTTTAACGCACGAGTGGTGCACAATCATAAAAATTATCATAATTAATCTTATTAGAAGGATTTTATCACTAAATTTATGAGGTAAAATTTAATTCAAAAATGTAACTTATAAGCTTAAAAAAAGGCAATATGTCAGTTTGTGACAGACACCTATCTCTTATTCAATGAAGAAATCAGATATTTAAGCTTTAGCACAAATATAATATTGTTTTAACGGGAAAATAACATATTTATGTATACCATTTGCGAAATTTAAACTTACTCCATTTCCACGGTGGTGGAAAAGTAGTTTCTGTAATGTTCGACGGTGGCCAATTAGCGCAAAGCGCTAATAACAATGCGTTGGTCAGCGCCATAGGATTTAAAGTTCATAAAATTATTAAGTTCTTAGAAGTTTCGGCAGTTGATGAATGGCTACTGTCGCCGTGTTCCACACTAACCCCGTGATTTATTTCAAGTTGTGCTGTCAAAACTGTCTCCTGTTGAATAAATGATTACACCGAAAGGGTGTTTATTTAACCATAACAATCGGTCATAATATTATATAGATTTTTAAAATAATGAAACATATGTTAAATATTAACGATTACTGTGAGACCGTATGCACATAGAAATATGTTCATAGTCCATTTATATTATTACAAATATACTTAAATTATAGACGGTATTCAAAATCGGATTGTTGAGTACCATAAATTATTATCAAAACCAATAAATTGTCTTCGATTCAGGAATATACGACATAATAAGCGGTTTTTAACCATAATCGATTCCATTGATTAGGTAATGGTTTTTGATCATTATTAATCAATGGCCGATATCGTAGCAGCGGAATCTATAAATGACTAAATATATTTACATTTAGTCAAATACTCTGATTAAAATATGTTATTAATTTGAATTAACAGTGTATTATCGTACTTTTAGTTCAGTGGTGTGTTTGAAGGAGTGATTCATTTCCTCTCTCACTATCACAGATAATTTTCAAATAGATTTAAAATCTTGAACATGCAATATATCGTTAAATTTTATTTTTTTAGTAAAATATTCAGAGATTATACTTAGAAATATAAATCATATTTTAATCAGAATATTTGCATATATATTTATAACCATACCTAATAAATACTATCTATGATATAAATATTTGCATCCATGGCTAATATATACAAATTATGGTATTTATATTTGCATCTATGGCTAATAAATTTGCGTCTGTGGTATATATATTTATATCCATAGCTAATATATACACAAAGGTGGATATGACCAATGGGATACCGGAACTTCCTGATGCACCCCCTTCCATTACAGTGATGTACATTTTTTTCCAGGATCATTAAGACAACTTACCTTCAACTACTTTAAAACGAGTATTTGAAATACATAATTACATTAATATTAAATAATCTTCAAGTTAAATTAAAATATTTTCGTTCTAAACAGCAAAATTTAAATATATATAAGTTTTTAGACACATTATTTCGAGTTTACAAATGAAATAAAAGATAATTCTGGTAACAACGATGAAGATCAATATGAAAAATGTGAAAATAACAATCATGATGAAAGCGCTTTTATCAATTGTTGCTATGAGTTAATAATTCATTATAATTTGTTTAGTAGAGCTTATCCTGGATTATTTTTATGCCATAAATTAATTTTAACTATGTCAGTTACACAAGTTTTTTGAGAACGTTTGTTTTCAAAATTTAGAATATTAAAAAATTCTTTAAGAAATTCTCTGACACAAGACCATTTAGAATATTTCACGCTTATAGCCTTAGAAAATAATGTATTATCAAATTTCGATAATGAAGATATAAATATTATTATTAATAATTTTAAAATGAACGTTACTGACAAATTTTTTTTTTTTAGTTTTTATTAAGATATACACAATTTATTCTTTTAAGCACAATAAGAGTATGTGATAACAGAACAAAACAGTATTAAATATTTGGAATAAGAAGCCACCTATTACTCATTAGTGATACTTGAAACTGACATTAATTTGAAACATGTTTCAAATTATAACAAACTATTAATTTGTAGTAATATAGTTGCTTACATCATGACTGTTATATTCAAATTTTTCATATTGGTCTTCACTGTTAACAAAATTATTATTGTTTTTTTTTTTTTTTTGTATATAAATTAAAAATTAAGCTAATATTTACATATTATTTTCATGGAATGTAATTATTTATGTACAGTAACCTATGCAACTTCTCAATTTCACAAATGTCGAGCTTAGCGTGACACAGTTTTTGAAAATAGTACTCTGTATGCAAAACATAGGTATAATATATAAAAAAAAAAAAAAAAAACTAAACTGAAATTTTCAAAAATCTAATTATTGTTGCATTAAATTAGAATTATTTTATAATGTTCATCTATATCTATAAACTATGTAGTAGATATGTGAAGGATTTTTATCGTTTTTAGGTTTTATCAAAAAAAGAAAAGAAAAAATTAACACGCAGTGACTTAAATATTTGACATCCCTGACCTGTGCTATTTGTAAAATAATAAAATTAATGCCCAAATGCCGCCCCATTAAATATTTTCCCGGTAATTTTTTTTTTCACTTATCCGCCCCTGTATAACACAATCTATGGTATTGATATTAGCATCTATGACTGATACATACAATCTATGATATTTATACTTGCATCTATGGCTAATAAATTTGCATCTGTTTGTACAACGCAGGATAACATTAACGATATAATTTAACAAATACGCTCCTCAGAAAAATAATTGTTACTCAAGTAATAGTTGATCATTTTTCCCACTTTTTATTTCAAATTTCAATCGTTTCTTAAAAAGTGCGCATGCAGTCTGGTGTCATTTTTGAGTTGATCTGCTGAAGAAAGTTTTTCTAAAATGCAATTTTTAATATTTTCCATCTAAACATGCGATCGTCATTTAACGTGAATTAATTTTATATTCTTATCGGAAAGCGGTCGTATCCGGTCAAACTATCTCCGTCGCCTTTTAATTTATCTGAACCAATTAAATACGTCCCGCACCGCACACGACGTATACACTATATAGTATATTATAGTATATATGTATTAACTTGCCATTTACGCTGTTTACTTTCTGACTACTAAGAATATTATTTATTTTTCAAATCATTAACGGATGTGCTATCGTATTGATGTATTCTGTATTACATTCTACATACTTTAGGAGCATCAAAATATAGCAGTTGCGTCCACTATACTTCTAGGAGTCAGACTCTTATCTTATCAATATGACTTCGCCTATTCGGCTTACAGCTATAATGCTACGACCTCACAAATTACCACCAGATCCGGAAGCTTCGCTTCTGATAAAACTAGAAAGATATCTCCTAAATCCTAATGATTCTTCTCTTCTCTTGACCGAGGAATTCCGTCGCACAATGTCGAATTTCGTAAAGACTCGAGATGAAATATTGAAACAATGCAAGGATTTGTGTCTTTCTCAAAAATTAGTATTTTCAGATTTAAAATCTAAACAAAACACATTATCAACCGAAGTTGAGACTTTAAAAATTGAAAACGCAACCCTTCGTCTTGACGTTATTTATCTTAAAGAACGAGCTATCTTCCTCGAAGGCAATCTTAATGCAATTTCATCCGTGCCTAATTCGAGTCAAGTACAATAGCTTTTACGTGAAAAAAATATCGGAACAATAAAGGTATTTTTTTGATGCAATTGTTTATGGGCTTACAGAATCTATTGCTCCTCGGACAACTGATAAGACTACTGATCACATTAAATTACTTGATGTTACTATTCATTCTTTATCTTTGTCTGTTCCATCTGAATCTCATGACTAGACTGAGCAATTGAAGGAAAACTACAACTTTACTTCTTCAAAGTACAATTTAGATCCAATTTGCTACCTATCCAAAACCATCCTCAAAATAGAAAATTGAAACAGTTTTTCGACTATTTATCATGTAAGTATGCATGTACAAAAAAAAACACAAGTATGCCATTTCGAAATCAATACATTCATTGCTCCTTTCGAATACTTGGAGTATAAAATATAAATCAAAATATTTGCATTTTTTGTAAATAAACATAAAATAAATGTATTCAATCGTATAAAATAATTTTATACAGCGTACACAATACCATTTGTTACACATGTATTATATAAAAATTCAAGTAATTAATATTTTGATAGTAATATGCTAGGTATGTATGTTTGTACCTAACATAAATTTTGCACAGAAAAATAGTGAAGTATGATACTGATTTTATTTAATTCATTGGGTTATTTGTGAATATAATGATTCAACAACTGTAACCATAGAAACTGAAAGACATAAATGTGAAAATAAAAAAAGAAACAATATTTGAATCCAATAATAATATTATTAAAGTTCATTTAATGTAATATGTATGTACGTAAATAGTTGTAATAATTATTATAAATATGGAATCTTACTTGGACGAAGTAAACAACAACAGAAATATGGGTATAACAACACTACTGGTAGGTTAATAGACAATATATTTTACGACAATTATAGATAATTATATTGTATCAAAAATACAAAATAAAAATAGTAATAAAATATAAGACAAATTGATACCTACCTAAGTAATATAAAATATAAAGCCGTAAGTACCTAAGACCTATTAAATAAAAAACATTAAAAAATATTAATGTTCAATTAAATTTTTTTAAATTAACTACTAATGAATGCTTATTTTCATTGAAGTTATTTTAATATTAACTTTGTTAACTTTATCTATAAACTATAAAATCAATTTTTACAATGTTTCAACTTTAAAATGTTGCTTCACCAACACAAGTAAAATACAAATTAACATTTCCAAGTATTCAATTTTAAGGAAGATAGTGTCAAAAACCGGAATTTGGATCAAATAACTTCACTTAAATTACAAGCTCCTATGTTTGTAAACCGTTTGTGTATGTTGGGTACTTATGTACCTAATTTGGTGGAGCTTGATTTAACAGACAGTTTTCTTCCGTCATTCAGGTTATTAATACATTAAAGAGTAAATTTAGAAAATTTTTTTAACAAATAATATTTCTGTGTAGAGATTTTGCATTTAAACTTGATAATTTGAAAATCCTAAAAGTAGCCTCCTGCCACCTAAAATCATTGGATGGAGTTTGGAACATACCAAACTTGGAAGAGTTATTTGCTTCTGACAATGATATCAATGACCTAATGCTATGCTCTACACTGGTTAAACTCATCACTCTAGACTTATCTAGGTATATCTTTATATACGTCATACTAAACCATTATACAATTTTAATTAAAATAAAATTTTATAGAAATAAGATCATGGATTTGACAAGATTACACTTCTTAAACTTTTGCGAACAATTACAAAGTTTATCTTTATCAGGGTGTCCAGTGGCTAAAGTTGAAGATTTTGAGAAAAATGTCCGCAATATTTTACCAAACTTGAATCATTTGAATGGAAATAAAACTTTGGGTAAGAAATCTTGTATATTATAATCAATTAAACCTCAAAAAAAAATTTAATATTTGATTTAATATTCGTAAATTTAATAAAAAGAAATAGAACAAGTTAAACCCAAATTGACCATTGAATCAATAGTTTGTGGAAATATAACTGCTGCATTACGAAGTAAAAAAACTAACTACAGTGGAAATAAGGTACCTATTGCCTAACTATATTTATAGAGTATAAGTATAAAATAAAATATATCACCATATTAGTAAGTTAAAATAATTTTAAAGATAAATAATTTACTATACTAGTGTTGTTATTTTCTGCTGCAATAAAGAAAATAAATAATCAAAATTAAAATACCTATTATTTGATGGAGTAATTTATTTTGTGTATAACACTAACAAGTAACAAAAGTACTTTATTTTATAGGATATACAATTTGGAAATGGACAAAAAGTATTGAATGATGAAAAAAAGTAATTAAATAATATAGGACAATTTTTAATTACAAAACTAGTTTAACATTATAAAATTGTATTAATATAGCAATTAAATTAAACAAAGAGTACACATTTTTTATTGTATGGTTCACATTTTTTTTTTTTCATTTTTTTGATTAAATCTATGTTTAACATTAATAATAATACACAGTCTTTATAATTAATAATAATGTCGACAGTTACGCAAACAAAATATTATCAAAATATAATTATACACAAATTATATTATTAAAAAAAATGTGGCCTACTTTATATTCTAATCAAATTCTTCAACACCTCCTGCATTATCATCTGAATCTTGTTGATCAAAATCAGTCATTCGGACATCTTGATCTTCCCCATATTGAATCATTGTGTTAATAGTATATAGTAAACCAGAAATACTCTCTTCGTCTTTTATATTTAATGGCACAAATTGAACAAGACTATAGTCTTCGATCATTTGACCAATACATTTAGATAAATGCCGATATTTCTTTCCCCAGCTTGTATTACTTTTTACATCAGACAGCAATGCACGGGCATCTGGCTCTAAATAACTAAATTGACAAATTTTAAATTTGAATAGTAAACATTAAATCAAAAAATCAACAAATTAAAATAATTACTCGTCCAAATGTTTTCTAGCAGTTTTACTAAGTAAATCCATTTTTGAAAGAACATTAACATGAGGTAGTTCTAAATTTATCATAACCGATAAAGCTGCCATGGTTCCTATGATTATATATATATATATAGATATGCATTAATGTTTTGTAAAATATGTTTAAATATTTTTATAATAATACATATAAAAACTAATTCATGCAGTTCTGACCCATAGAATAAAATATCACATAGTACAAAATTAATTTTATTTCTATCATTAATAATAATCTTAATTTAAAGTAGTATTCTAGTATATATACCATACATGCATATCATAGAAATGATACACAGATAAAATAGTATCTAGAATTATAAAACCCACAAAGATCATTAACTGCACATTAAAATACTTGGATTATTGATGTATAAATTTAAATGCATTAAAATACATTATCATGTAATCTTAAAAAGATTCTTAGTATATGAGAATAATAAAAAGACTTATTGAAATTTCATTGATACAAAGTAGTCAGGAATATATTGTTGTAATATTATATATTGTAAAACCTTAACTCCTATTTAAAAAAATATGTACATCTATATATTACCAGAAATGAACTTTGGTCCATCTACCATAAACTGAGAGTCTATCAGCATAACTGAACACACATTGAATCCCCAGTTTTGAAGTAATTCTGCTAATTGTTTAACAGTTTTCATATGGGTATATAATTCTATTTGTCCAGGCAAATCAAATAGAATATAGTCATCATCATCATCACCCAATTGTTCTCTTAGCCAATCTTGATTTTCTATTAAATATCTGTAAGCCAAATAACATTTTATTATAATACTCACTTAATTTATAAAACCTCACTTACTCCATACAAAATACCAATCCTCCATTGGGCCCAAAATGCAGTATTTCATCATCCATAGCATCATCAACATGAATCAATTCACGTATATCAACAGTTGGATTGTAATTGAAACGCTCAGCTGCTGGATCCAAATTAACTACCATCACTGAATTTTTTTCATTTTCAATGTGTTCTGCTATAGCAGAACAATATGTGGACTGAATAAACATACAAGTAATCATTATTAAACATAATTTAAAAAGTTATTTAATAAAATTGTAATATTAAAAGATTATGTGATTTATTTTATAGATTAATTTACACAGAAAATATATATTTGTAGTTAAAATAAGCAATTTTGATTATTTCTACTCATAAAAAAAGATAATGGCACAATGGAAACAATGTAGATTAAATTTATTTTCTAAACAGACATAACAAAATGATGGTACTTGGTATATTGACAAGCAATATAATAATATCAAAAATACACTAAGACACTACATAAACAAAAATAGTTGAAATTTATGTCCAAATGCTAGTAGATAGACTTAATAAATATTTGTACATAGTAATAAAATAATACAAAAATTGAGAAAGCATTTAAATTTACCTTTCCACTTCCAGCTGGTCCCATCACTAACTGAGCATACCTCATTATTTATATTTATGTAACTCCGAATCAAATATGTAATATAATTAATTTATGCAACAAACACCTTCTAAAAAAAAATAAAAATAAAATAATTATTATTGATATGTAGGCACCTATCAACAAAAACTTGAATATATTAAAATAAATAATAAAAAACAAATTCTATTTAAATAAAAGACAATAAATTATAACATGAGATTATCTATAAATTTTAATACCCATAACGGCTATAACTAATAAAATTATATTTTATGTAAAGGCCACAATATCGTTAATTTTAAATTAAAAAATACAAGTGCGAAGTTGTTTTGCTTATTTACTTACAAGTTAGTAGTTACGATTCTTATTTTTTGTGGCGTATCGGTAGTCGGTACTAACTACTAAGCCCATTGCTGATAACACAATCGCTTTGTAGAATGTGATTACCTATCAGTGATAATATAATTAAAAAATAAAAATATATTAATTGGTATTTTAAGGAATTGAAATGTTTGAATAGCAAATTTTTCATTAAAGTTATTTGACTTATTAACTTCTGAAAACACGTACAAATTAATATACTAAATTTATTAAAATTCAATTGTCGCTTAAACATAAAAATACCATTTATCATTAAATATTAACTACAGATATTGTAAATCGTAAACGAACATGTTCAATTGAACTATTTTCCAAAGCGAACGATTTTAAGTTCGAACTAGTTCACGTTTAAATGAATGATATCGTTCATCATTAATTTCAATGTATTAATTATTGTTCATTGTCAAAAATTGATTTGAAAATGTTAAATTCTGAACAATAAATTAAAGTTCAATATTGACATAATAGCATAATAACTGCCCGTGGACGAGTAACAGTAATAATACATTTACAAACTTCTATGATCGTATAATAGATTGTCAAAGCCGAGTACCCGAATTATAAAATATCTTATAAATATTTAAATACCTTTCGTTTTCGTAGTCTTGTCTCTAACAACTCGGTACTCAGTCAAATACAGGAAAAATCTAAGACTGTGTTGGGAAGTGGGAACACTGATTCCTGGTTAATTCTAAATACTAACCTTGCGACCCTGGTTAACTTATCAATAATTATGATACCGCGCGTTGTTAACTTGTAATATATACAGAATACAGATTACCGGACTCGTGCTGCGAGTAAGTTGGTCGTTTTTGAATAAAGTCGCTTGTTATCAAAATTGAAAATACTTGTTTGAACTTTTTGAATTCAAAAGTATAATTTCGAAAATATGTCTATGTTTAATTTAAGTGGTTCTACGCCGGCGAATAATGCAGGAAATGCAGCAACGTAAGCATGTTTATTTGATTTCTTTATGCTATTATTTAATGCGGATACTAACGTTAAAACATTGTCTACCACAATCTTGTTTTTACCTAAGTTTCATATGCTTATAAATTGAAAATGTATTCATTTATAAATCAATTAATAACACTCAATTTGTACATTGTTGATAATAGTTTCTTTTCTTAAATTTATAATTGATTAAAAAATACCTACTTATTTTGCAATGCTTCATATTATACCTGTTTTAAATCAATATATTTTATAACTATAATCAACCAATTTTTAACAGCCCTCAATTTGGCTTTGGAACATCACTTGGAGGCTGGCCATCATCATCAACACCATCAACTACAACTAGTTTTGGTAACTTTGGGGCTGCTAGTAATAAGCAAACTACAAATACACCATTTTCCTCATTTGGTAATGTAGGTGCTCCTACAACTTCATTATCTTTTGGAGCCAACACTACATTAGCAACAACTACAACTAAACCCGGTATTTTTTAATGAACTTATTATTATTGAGGAAATAAATTATAATTTTATTTCAAACTATAGGATTTTCCCTTGGTATCAATGCAGCGTCAAATGCTCCATTAAATCTTTCTTTTGGTTCAACTGCAACTACAGCTGCTACATCTGCTTCTCCGTTTTCACTTGGAACTGCGTCAAATATCAAACCTACAGCATCACTTGCTGGTACACAATTGACATTAGGAACAACTACTAATGTAACTACTTCTGCTGCACCTGGTTTGTTAAAACTTCATTATTTTAAATATTTAATGCACATTATACATAACAGTTGTTATATATGCATAGCATAATAACATTATTTAAAAGAAGTGATGAGAAAAAAATGTTAATAAATTTATTAATAATAAATGTATGTTAAATTAATTTTTCTCAAAATATGTCACTGGTTTGTATTAAATAATTAAATAAATTATCATTTTTAGTATCTCGTGGTCTGGGTGGTCTAGATACAACTTCAAATTTAAATCAAGGTACAATTAAAATTTAAAATAAATAAATACATTTCTGTCTTCAATTAATTATTATTTTTATATTTATGAAATATTTAGCACAAAATAAAGCTGTACCTGCTCTTGAAATGCCTGTTCCTAATGAAATTTTACAATTAGTTAATAATTTAAAGTAAGTACTTGAAGAAATTAATGATATAATTATTGTTAAATAATCTTTTTTGTTGAGCTTTGTTAATGTATTTTTTTATCATAACATGATACATATTATGTGAAAGTCTGTTTTAATTTCCATGTATGAACATGTCCAAATGATAAGAAAGTTAAATGCTAAGCTTTAGTTTTGATATTGATACGTGCAAAATTTACATCAGTGTTAAATACACATTTTTATATAAAATATATAATATAGTGCTAAGACAAACCTAAATGAAGTATTTTAACTAATTTTACAGAGATTTTCTTAAGCAACAAAAAACAATGAGCACTGAATTAGCTCGTATGTCATCTAAAGGTTCAAATGAAGTTGCAGGTGATATAACAATGTGTCAAAAAAATTTACAATTTATAGAACATAATCTAGATAAACAAAAAACGTCCGTTGAAAAATTAAAATATGAAACTAATAAAGTATACAAATAATTTAATTTTTATTTGTTTAAAATTAATAGGTAATTTTTATTTATTATAATTATGTATACACAGTGTCTACAAGATTTTGAAATTGCTCAACGTAATCATGATCATCCAGCAATGGTTCAAACAGATATGGAATCTAATATTAAATACTTTGCTGAGCTTATCAAATCATTACAAGAAAAAGGAAACATATTAAAAAATGAAATTGAAAATACTCAACAATACTTAGCAACATTACCTTATAATAATAATGTCACGGTAGATGGTATGCTCAATTTTTTTTAGATAAGTAGTATTTGTTTTCTAATCTAAATTTTACTTTTCAGAATTGAGAAGAATAGGGGAAATGTATTACAAGAATGTTATTGCATTAGCTGGTCATTTGCATGGTATACATAATGAAGTTCAAGTATTAAAAGCAAGGCATCTGTCTTTCCGTAGAGAAATTTTAAATGATCATACAAATATTTTTCAATTGAATCCAAATCCAAGTTCATCTAGTTTCTTTACATCTCGTCCAGATACTACTGGTCCTAATCCATTCTCAGGTTTAAGTAAGTAAACAATACAGATATATTTAAATTTAAATTTTATACTATTAACTATGAAATAAATATTCTATTAGATATAACAGCTTCAGCAGCATTAAACTTGGGAACGTTTGGATTAGATCAGTCTGGCGTTCTTCAAAATCAAGGTTTGTACAGATTAATGTAAATGAGATTATATTAGCAATATATTTGTGACTAATAATATTTTAATTTAATTTTAAAATTAATTTCCTTTTATTATAAATATTAAACTTTGAATAATTCTTACTGTTTATAAATGTTCAAAGTATAGAAAACCTGGTTTTTTAATTAAAAAAATATACCCCCACTATTTATTTTGATTTAAAATAAATGTAGCCATTAATTTATTATTTAAAAAAAATAAATATATTTACAGATACAAGTAGTGTACAATCAAATTTTGGAACAAACACTCAACTGATGAATACAACACAATTCCAGGGTTTCTTTCCTAGCCATAAATAACACTTAATATATTTTAAGTGAGAATAAACTAATATACTTTATTTATTAATAATAATTTAAAATAAATAATGATGTATTAATTTGTTAGCATTATATTTGATTAATAAATTGTTAAAACTATTGTATTAAAATTTTTTAAATCATAATTAAATTTGAATACAGTATTGTACAATAAGCAAAACTTTTTAATATACTTAAGCTAATTAGTTTTTTTTTTTATGATAACGTTTTCTTTATAAATGAACTTTCAAAATGTTTAATTTCTATTATTTTTAGTTTTTAAATTGTTATAAAATACAAAATTACTGAATGCTTTACAATGATTTGTATTAAATTACTTAGACTTAAAATCAATCAATTTAATATACCTATAACCTTCACCCCTATATTAAAAGGTTTCTAATCAAACAACACAAAAGTAAATTTAAATTAAATTTATTAAATTTTACCAAGGATTCTGGGTAAATGTACTATATACTTACTAATTATTTTTAACCTACAACAGTACTTACTAAACAAAGTATATTATTTCAAAAATATTATAGTGGTTAACAATTTTCTAAATGTTTCTGTGCCTTACTGTCTATTTGTTATTGAGTATTTGCATATGTATCATTTTTAATTATTGCCTGAAGTTTGTTAGTTAAGCTTTTTGACAATAAAATAGAATAATATAGAAATATATATTTTATGTCTTCCACAGTTTTTGTATTGTGTTTAAATATTTAATCTTATAATTTTAGTCTTTAGTCCCAAACTTAACTTTAAAAATTATTTTTTAAGTTGGGTTTTATTCATAGACCTTATACTCAAGTGTAAGGTCTATGGTTTTATTAGATTAATAACAGTTTTCAAGTAAAATTTTATGAAAAAATTAATAAAGTTATCAACAGTTTTCCTTTATAATTTTGGAACCTACTAATATAATTTAATAATACAGTCCTTGCTTCATTATGTAGTAATTAACTAAAAAGATTTAAATTTTTTTTAAATTAAATGAATATACAATTATTTTCCTATATTAACAGTTAATTGTGTATATCATCTTGTTTTTAGTCTATTGATCTAAAATCTATTTAGACCAATACTTCAGACTTCAGCATACAGTACCTTATTTTATTATCAATTACTATTAAATTGTACACTCAATGGGTAGACTACATAGGATTAAACCAAGACTATTAAATATTATACAGTGTTTAAGACTTATATTTAAATATTATTTTTCTATAAATTAAAATTATTGCAGAAAAAGCTACAAATTCATACTATCATTGATTTTAGAATAATCTATTATATTATTAATTATATCATGATATGATTTACTATGGTAATAAATTTCTGTTTTTGTTACTTTTGTGGAAATTTTGACATTTTTTTTTAATCACGCTTCAAACATGTTCAATGTATAAGTAATGGGTGTATATATTGTTACGCCTTAAATATAAGATTACAGCAACCTAACTTTCGTGACTTAAACCAGAATAATCACTAACGACGGATACTAGCGTCTAAGTCTCGAAAACTAAACAGCTGATGAAATTAGTTAAGAAAATGTTATGTGATAACAATAGATAATAAAATAACAAACTTTTATAAATTACTGAATTAAATCATGGTGACATGGTGTACTCGAAAATAACATTGACATATAGGTACTAATATACTATAAAACTGGTCGTTTTAGTATTTGCATTTTGTAATAATGTCGAAGCACAAGACAGAAAATTTTGTAACAGCGTGAAAAATTCAAATAATAAGCACTAAACTAAGAATCAACTAAATAAAATAGACCAAGTTAACACTACTGCTATCATATATTTATTATTTATTATAACAAGACTTCGCTATTTTATAAACTACAAAATAATTTTTAAGTTTCTGTTATTTTAATGAATTTTGTAATACTTAAAAAAAATTTATACCTATTTAGTATGTATCTTTAATTTATTTAAATAGTTAATATAACAACATTTTAAGAGCCTTGTATTAAATTTTTTAATAATAATTGAAAAAAAAAATTTCTTTTACTTTTAACTAGCTTAAAAAGAATATAAATATTTTAAATAATGTATCGTACCTATAAAGAGAATTATAATTTAAACATTTTGTAAAAATGTCCAGTATCTATGATTAGTCATTTTTAAATTACAACAAAATGTAGTTAAGGACATAAAGCTATTATTTTACTTGTAAATATTCAATGTTATGAAAATGAATGTTACTTCCTAATTTTTTTTTATTATTAGTAGAAAAACCTATAATGAATTTCTTGTTAAATTTACAAATCACAGTCAACAGATAAAAAAAATGCATCTATGAATTTTTTTCCTACAAAAATCAGAAAAATATCCAAAATAATTTTCAAAATTTGTCAATAACCTTACATCAAACGTTTATAAAAAATATTGTGATTTTTTTATTTAAATATTTTTTTAATTTGAACATGAACAATTCATGAATAAGTTTACAGTATCAAATTTTATTGTTTTTCGACTGAGTCAAAAAATGTTTATTAATATTAATAAAAAAAAATTTTTTAAAAAAAGTGATAGTTGAAAATGTCTATAAATAGTTTATTTTTTAAGCATTAGATGAACATTTTAACTATCAACGATTAATTGTTTTCAAATAAGGTACCTACACCAAAAAAAAAAAAAAAAAAAAAATCAATTTTGTATTGATTTTGCGTAAAAGTCAAGGTTTTCTTGATTATTTTTTAAAAAATGCTGGGAAATTTTTTTCTAAGTAACAACCAAATTCAATCTGTTACCACAAATTACTATCAAAAGTTTAAATAAAAAATCCATGCGTTTTTACCGACCTAGAAGGTGGTTACAGGGACAAAAATTAAAATCGTATATGAATGTAAAATTAATACACAATTATAGTTCCGTTCGAAATCTAAAACAGTTAAAAAATAGTTATCGTTATCTGTACTTAAAGAATTATTCTTCACACCCAATGAAAAATTATTTGCGCGCCGATTGATTTAGTGTATAAATGTATAATAATAATATGATATATCAATACCAATTTACGACGGGGCTATACGACGATGAATAATCTTTGAAACGAGGTTACTATTTTTAAACCTGTGCTACGATTCTAGTCTCTAGAGACTGGCAAAAAAAAAATAAAAAGAAAGACAATTTCCGTTGCTCGCGACGCACCGTGTTCCTAATTCCTATATAGCCCTAATTCTGTAGGCTGCAGCAGCGAACCCTGGCCGGGTGCACACTCATGGTCACTGACCCCCAAACAGATGCAGATTTCAGTAGTTCTTATCAGTTGATATTAACAATTATTGTTGTTGTGAGATAACTCGGAATCGTCGTTTTAAAATAAAAATATTTCTCACAACTTTTAACCAGCACGAATTGAGTATAGCATTCGTAAAATCTCGCTCCGATTGAAGACTTTCTAAATAACGAGTAACTCATACGCGGTCCGTTTAGTTTTAAATGTAATACATAAACTAAATTAAAATTTTTTATCTCAGAATTTTCAATTTTTATTTAAGGTTATACCGCGAATTTGTTCGTTTTTTCCTTTTGTTATTGTTATTATTCATTATTATCGAAAATATCGAATATTCCACTACGGTATAGATATTAGATATATATCGTCCGTTTGTCATTTGTCAATCCCACATTCATTAATCGTTATCGGATAATAGTGTTTTATTTATTTTTGTGTTGTGTGTAACTGTTAATAGTGTTGGAACTCAAACAAAATACTGAGCCAATTTCAAATTACCAATACTTCAATTTGGATGGTCGTTTATATTTTATAATCGGATGTGAATAAACGATGCTGTTGTTGAATATTATTCACAGGAATAAAGACGAATGTTTCCTATTAATTCTGGCGCTTTTACTTTATTACGTGATGATATTCTTAGAAGAAACTGAGAAACTTCGTTGAGAAGGTAGCTAGCAAATTTTGATTTGTACTGTATATAAAAATAGAAAATAAATTAAAAATCAGAAAAAAAGGATTTATATATAGTTTTTTTGATGTGATATAGATATTTTTGTATCCATAAATGTATTATGTTGTTAACATGTTTTCAATTTTTAAATTAAATTTGTATTTAAATACCTACTTTAATTGATGATAATATTTTTGAATAATGATTATTATTATTTTATATTAATTGTTGTTTTTAATTATCTACTTAATTTTGAACTAAACAACAATATGAATTATTTAAATCACTTTAGGTTTCAACAACAAAATAAACTATATATACAATTATAAATTAGAACTTGAAATGTATTATTTAAAACAATATTTTCAACCATTTGTTTCTTTAATTTAAAATATATTTAACTAAATCAGTATCATCAGAAAATCTAAAAAATAAACTTTTAGCTGCATACCATTTGGATTCTTCTTGAATTATGCATATGCCTAAAGACTTATTCAAATTATATCAATTTTTGTATTTTCTTAATAGTTATTTCATTAAATGTATTAGATTAAGCAAACACTTATTTAATGTGCTTGTAAAAAAAATTCACTAAGTGATCATCAAATTAATAAGCATACTGGTTAAGTTTAGTTTCATCAAAATATTAATAGCCAAATGACTAACCCTGCTATCCTGTAATCTAAAGTGCATTTAATATTTACATAACATGGCTTTATTTATAATAATAATAAAAGATTTTTTTAATTATCATATTCTGTTTAGCACCTATTTATTTTGACATATGCAGGTCATCACAAATATAATTTTTCAGATCCAATTAGTTGAGAATACACTCAAAATATTAAACATTTATAGCAATAGCCAAATAGGAGAAGAAAGAATACTTGAAAACTAATTGATCTATATTAGATTTTTACATAAGTAAATTTCTGTGTCGCCAAAAAAACATAAATATTGACTGACTGTGGTTCACTCAATTAATAAATAACATTGTTAAAATTTCTTTTTTATAAATAAATTTGTATTAACTAGTAATTTTTTATACTTCATATTAGTTTTCTTCATTTATTTATCAAAAATAGTTATTTTTTTATCATATATTTAATTAACCAATGCCTATATCCGCCATATGTATTGAAAAGAAGTAGTAATAAATATAAAACCTAAAATTAATACTTAAATAGTTCTTAGCACAAAAAACGATATTGAATATTCTGTGGGCAGCCATTTGACTACTGGTGTTAAAAAGTACAAATTTATCTAGTAACTTGATAATAAATGAATTATTATTTTTTTTTTAATTAAAATTATCAGTTTTTGTATAAACAATTAAATGTTTTTATTTAAAAATATATACTTATTTTTTTTTTGATTTTGAAGAATTCCTACATTTATTATTCAAAGATGTTTGTTGAAGATCTAGTTAAAGGATTTTATGACATAATTTCAAAAAATGTAAGTATAGATATATATATATATATATATTGTTAAATTTTATTATTTACAACTATACATTTTTAAATAAAAAATTGTTTTTTACCTAATTTATTAACTTAATATATAAATATACTTCCCAGTCATGAAATCTAAAATGTTTGATTTTAAAATGCCTGATGAATCAAATTCATTAATTATATATGCACAACCTTATTAAATTAATTTAATTTCTTAAGTAATAAATATATCTTTTATATTCATGTTTGTATCTGATTATTTTAAAATTATTATCACAATAGTATTGGACTATCTCAATAGTTTAGCTGTAATAATATTAATATCATACTTTTTTTTGTTTTTTTATCAGAAAATTTTAATTTTGGTTAACTACGATGTGGATGCAATTTGTGCTGTAAAAATACTTCAGTGTATATTACGTTTTGACAATATAGTTTATGTACTTGTTCCAGTCAAAACTATAACAGAGTTAAAAAAAGCTTTTGAAGAGCAAAAAGTTGATGTAAGTACTTGAGTATATTATTGTTTAAATGTTCATCTTTTAAATATCAATTTATTTTAGGTGAAATATGTCGTATTAATCAATTGTGGTGGTACATTAGATATAATAGAAATATTAGAACCAGAGGAAGACATTACTTTTTTTGTTGTTGATAGTCATAGACCTACAGATATATGCAACATTTATAGTAGTTCTCAGGTATTTTATTTTTTAAGTACTGAATCTGCATATAATAAATATTTGCTATTTAGTAAACTTAATTGTGTATTTTCAGGTTAGAATACTTACTCCTCCTGATGATGAAGAAAAAATTCCTGATTTTGAAGATATTTTTAATGAAAATGAAGTAATTATTTTTGATATATTTGTTAATGCAATACTCATATTTTTTTTTTATGTTTAGTCATCAGGCGAAGATGTCGATTCCGATGAACTGGATGAAGAAGAGGCAGATATTGCCAATATCGATAGCGTTGAAGAACAACAAAACAAAAGAAGAAAACTTGATCAAAGCACATTAATTAAAAGAAGGGAAAGAAGAAGATGGGAAGAAAATAGAAAAAAATTGTTATTTGATTATACTCAATTTTCATATTATGGGCGTTCGGTATGTATATTTTAATGTTATTCTAAAATTTTATCTCTCTATATAATATACATATTAAATTTATAGGCTGCAATGTTAATGTTTGATCTTGCTTGGAAATTACATAGAGAATCTGTTGATTTATTATGGTAAATAATTTACTTATACATTTTTCTTTTTTTAATATTAAATAATTTATGAACTTTACATCCTTATCAGGTGGGGAATTGTTGGTGTTACTGAACAATATATTTTAGGCAAGACAGAACGTATGCGATATCTTAAAGAAGTAGAATTAATAGCTGGTCACATTGGTCGTATTTGTGATTCTACCGTTATTAATGATGATGAAGATAGTATGTCACAGTCATCAATGCTTAAACCCTCAAACACTTCTACACATCTTCGAATTGAATCAGAAAAAGAGTGAGCTTTTTTTAATTAAATGCATATTATTAAAATACCATTAATTATTATCAATTTTCAGTCTACTGTTGGCTCTATACAGACATTGGACAATTGAATGTAGTCTTCGATATTCCATGTTTACTGCAGTATCTTTGAAACTTTGGACAATCAAAGGCGAAAAAAGACTGAAACAAATATTAGCAGAAATGGGGTAAAATCATTATCTTTCAGTTCATATATTTAGTGTTTTTATCTGATATACTGTGTATAGTTAACATAATATACTTATAACTTACAAGCAATAAAGTTTATCACTAATCTTTACTTTTTCTATCTGGGACTTTTTTATGAGGCCCAAACATATCGACTCAAGTCAACTTTCTCAACCATGAAAAAAGTATGACAAAATTACTGAGTTAACTGATTATTCTATCTAACAACAAAAATCATTGATTTTGACAACATTCAACCTTTAATACTATATGTAAACATAATAGTTAAACTATTGACATACAGTTTTTTTTTCAACAACCATGGTCTCGCTATAAATATTGTACTGTTTATTTTATTCTGATCTCTACTGCCATTAACACAGTTTACATTACTTTTTTTTTGTTATAAACTTATTGTTTGACAGCTAAATTTGGCCGTGATATCTGATATGTTTTTTACATAAGCAAACTCTTCTGACAAAACATCAAGTATCACTCTTAAAGTAGAATTTTGGCCATTTACTGATCATCTCCATCTCAGTCTATGTCTTAGTTTTTTTTTCAAAGTAATTTCTGGGTTAACATCAGTATCTTTTTACTTTTAAGGTTACCTCTATCTGAAAGTCGTCAAATGTATCATTCAATGGATTTAGGTTTACGTAAACAATTTTACGGTATGATGGAAAAAATTTCCAATACCCATAATTTATTACAAATGACTTATCCTTCGTTTATGCTACATCAAGGATTTAAAACGAGGTATCAGTGTGCTGACTATGTTTATTCAATGGTTGCTACATTAGAAACCAATGTAAGTTTTATAGTTTTTATTATTTACAGTAATTTTAATTTTGAACCTTTTCTGTTTTTTTTTCTTTTTTTGAAGTCTCGCGAAAATTCTCCTACACAGTGTTTTTATAACACAATGGATTCATTGTCCAGGTAAAATATCGAGATTATTAAATGAAAAATGTTATCACTAAATCAAATATATTAATAAATTAAATTGTTTTAGATCAAAAAAAGATTTTTTAGATCAAGGAATAGAAAAGGCCAAGTGGATATTGTCCAATATGTTTAGGCATGTTCAGGCAGCATTAGATATGAGACAAGTCATATTGGCTGGACCATTTTACTATTTAATTGTTCAAGAGGTATTATTCCATTATTAATTTAATAATTAGCATGATTATTTTAGTATAATTAAACATATATTTTAGTTTATTATGATTATTAAACTTTTTGTGTAGGGTACATTGCATTCTCAGCACTATTCCAATCCTCACTGTTTAATTATGTTAGCATCATTTGCATTAAGAGCTCAAGTAGCATCATCAAGAAAAATCAAAGCTACTCGTTTACCATTAATTGCTTCAGCAACTCTTGATTCTGATCAAGATACATGTTTAATAGTTGGTATCCCTCCTATTACTGAGTCCATGCCTAGAAGGTTAGTTAATTTACAATTTTATTTTTAGTAATTATTATGCCATTTATCTTCATTTAACTAAAACATAACAGAAAATTAAATTTCAGTTCAGTAGAATTAATTGTGTGTTAGCTTTAATATTGGAGTAAACTGACCTACTATCAAAATTAATAGTAGAAACATTATCTGTGTTTTGATTTGAGCATTGGCTTTTTTCAATTTATTAATATTTAAATTAGCATTTTTAACTTGTAATATTTACAATACTTTATATCTAATCTTAATTTTAAAATTAAAATGTTAAAAAAACTTATACTTAAATCAAAATAATTTATGTCAATCATTCAATTAATTTTTGACTTTGGTAATAGGTCAATTTATTCTAATATTAAATCTAATTACACAGAATTGATTTTACTAATCATAAATTTGCTGTATTGTATGTTAGTAAAACGGAAACAATACCTGTGAGTTTAGTGTTCTCTTAAAATAAAATTTGCAAAAGTATTAACAAACAAATATATAGTCCGATTGCATTTATTTGAATCTTAGTTACTTAACTATATTCATAATCCACATTGTTTTTATTTCCCTTAAAACGCTTATAATTTATAAGTCATATTTGAGGTAGATAATATTAATTATTATTACTTATTATCTTTCATAATCAACAAAATACAAAGATCTATCAATTTAGAAATTATTTCTACCTTGCTATAGATTTTCCATTTTATAAATTTAACAAATATAACAAAGTTTGGTTAAAATCATTATGTTGAGATTCATTGAAAATTATTTGGTTGATATATAAGTATGTTTATATTTCAATTTTCAAACAATAATTTTGGTTAACTGAAACTTGGCAATCACTTTAAAAAAGTGTTCAGAACAGTTTATTAAAATTTCATTTTTGTCTGCTATTTTCTATAAAAATTACTGAGAATTCATTAATAACTGTAGGTTCAAAATTGAAAAAATCAATTATTGACTTTTATGTATTTATTCAAATATTTAGTTATTGAACATTAATGAAAAAAAGTACTAATTTTCTATTTAATATATTAAAGCTGAAATGAATATTTTTTAAATCGATAATGATAAGATGTTAATAATAAGAAACTGCAAAACTATATTATAAGTTTTAAGTTTAACTGTTGGGTTTAAAAACACTAATTAAAATTAAAATAGGTTAATGTCCAATACTCCATATACGTTAAGAAAAAATTTCAGCTGACCAACTTATCTGTATGGAATTGCTATCTTGCTACACAGCAGGCGCAGTATCGTACTAAACAATTTTCTGACTTAAGGAAAACTTTCTAACCATTTTATCACTCATATATCCAGTTATTTATCTACATTTTTTTTATACTTACTGGTATAAATATTATTTATTATTAAAGACTTTATCTTTGTACTAAATCTATTATCTAGACTCATCCATCCATTTTGATTTTGAGGAAATTACCTCAAAAAAAAAACCTACTCACCACTGACATCAAATGTTCTGGTAGTAAGACCTTATGGGATAATGCTTGAGCATTGTGTGACAACTGCTGAGATTCCTTTTTAATGTGAATACATTTTAGAATCAAATCCAAAGTTTAATGAATAATATTTGAATGCTTACTAGGCCATGGCATTCTATGAATGAAATGATTGTATCTATTGAAATTCGTGGAAACGTGTACAGCACTAGTCGAATAGCTTGTGAACATTATGCATTATAATTAAAGCGCGGATTTGTATGCATTTGTATATTTATTCTGATTGATCATATGATATACCATGTGAGCACAAAATTTATTTCATGACATAACAATTTTAAACATTTAACTTTTTTAGTGCATATTTTTTGCATATTTCAACATTTTTCAATTTTAAGGGCTTAATTTACAATTTTAATTGCATATTTCATCTTTTAGTGTATATTTTGAAGTTTTTTTAGTTTCAATTAATATCAAAATAATAATAGGTATAAACAGTTTTTCCAAATATGACCTTAGATCAATAATCAAGGAAATAAAATATTATTTATGCATATATTTACGTATATTTAAGATTTTTAGTTTATATTTGATTGGTTTTTAATGCATATAAATCCAGGCTTTAATCATGATTTATCATTCCTTTATATATTTGAGGAAAATATAAAATAAAACCTTTATTGTTTTATAATTTTTAATTTATTAAATAATAATATAATTACAGTGTGCATATAGTGTTCAATCTAAAGTGTAATATAATTTAAACTTTTAGTTTTTTTGGAAAAGCGTTCGAACAAGTTTCCAACAAAACAAACATTGAAGTTTCATTGGATTACTTTGATTCGTCTATTGCAAAAATGCAAACTAAAGATCGACCAAAGTTTTTTGATGCACTGACAGCGTTACTTAGTTGACAAGTAATGTCTATTGTATTATAAAGTATTAATTGTTTAAATTTGATATAATGTAAATTAGTAAAATATGTTTTTTAATTATAATCACAATAACATTTTTTTTTTTTTTTTTTTATGAATATTGTTTATTTCATTAAATAAAATATTAACATAAGTATTATAATTTGTTTATTGAATTGTTACCTCTTAGATTTTTTTAGAATGGTATATTTTGTGTTTATACGTTTTAACATAATACACGGCATCAAATATTTGAACCTAGAAAAAAAAAGAACCATAAATATTTTATAAGTTAATAAATGCAAAGCAATTTTTATATGTTTAGAGCATATAATATTACTATTTTCGTAACAAAACAATTATTTATAAACAAATGTATACATTTTTTCGCTTATAGTAAATAAAAAAACACCATTGATAAACTATACATAAATTATAGTCCAAAACTAATTTAGTATAAATAATGGTGTAACATGCTTGCGTTATAAATTTGTTATACTATGAAAAAACATTAAAATTAAAGTTTGATACAATTAATACTTTTTTATGTAATTTTACACAGAATAAAAAAAGTAATTGGAAATAAATTAATTTCTGTTTACAAATCGATAAATAGCAATATTATTTCTCAAGTTTATAAGCTTTTTATATATATTAATAACCAAGTACCTTGATATTTTTTTAGCGATTACATAAAATAGTATTTGATTTATTAATAAAATAAATCAAGAATTATCTAAATTAAAGTATACCAATTTATATTGTGAGATCTGCCATAAAACAAAATAATTTAATATTAAAAAATGTCAATGTAATAACATAGAAACTTCCCCTAAATAAGTTTTTCTATATATGTAAAAATATTAAAACAATTCATTGTACTTATTAACTTCAGATATTTTATTTTTTATAAATACCTCGTTTAATATAAATACCTGACGAAAAGTCACATGTAATTTTTGAAGATCTGCTGACTTTCAAATGATGAATAAGCACTTTTTTGAAATAAAGCGCCCATTATGACCGTTTTCTTCTGCTATGTGATAATTTACACAATAGTTGTAACAGGATTTTGTTTTCATTCAAATATTTTTTTATGGATGATTTTTCTTTTGTTTTTATTTTAGAATTAATATAATTATTATAGGCTTAACCCCGTTGTCATTTTAAACTACATACCTCATCAATAGCATTGTGTTTTTAAAAATCAATTCTAAATAATATTTAACACAATAAAATAGAGAATGTTTACCTGAATTAATGAATGTAACGTCATGACATGAACAAAATTTTAGTGATCTCTACGGCTGTTGCCATTGTGCCCTATATTTTTAAAAAAAGTTATAAATTTATTTATTTGAGTAAATATATTAAACAAACTTTACCTCTATGCCTATGACTATTTGAAGAACGACGATCACTACGGCTTCTACTTCTACGTCTATCTCTTTCATGTCTGTCAGATTTTCTGTGAAATTATTTTTTTTTTCAATTACTTAAATAAATGATTGAATACAGTAAACAATTATTTTCCACTAGAATAGATAATTACCTATCAGTTCTATGATGGGACCTGTCTCTGGACCTTTTAGATATCTTGTCATTATTAGTATCACGACTATGTCTATCTATGTCTTTAGAGTTACTTCTGTATTAAATAAAATATCAAAATAAAGTTAATATTTTAATCTTTAAGAGATTTAGTAACATACCTAGTACGATCCATGCGTTTTTTTCTTTCTTCTTCACGTTGTCTTTCTCTTTCCTCTACATATTTTTTCCTTTGCTCTTGTATTTCATTCACTGCATTTTTTAAACGAGCATAACCCATATGTTGTTTTCCCATTAAATGATCATCGATACGGGACTGAGCATCACCAACAATTAAAAAAGCTCCACAAACTTCACATACTTCCATTTGTTTTTCTTGAGCAGCAGCTAGTTCGTAAGTCTGAAATTAAATTTAAGTTACATAATATAAAATGTTTAGTATTTAATTTTATACTTCCAAAAATAATTACTTGTGACCAATGAATGCTTTCATTTTGCTTTCTCAAAGTATCACGTTCTTCTTTTAATTGATCGCAAAGTTTCATAAGTCCCTGAGCTTCTTCAACATGACCTCGTATGCCCATTTGTTCAGCTTCTTGCACTAACCCATTAATTTTTTCAGACAATAATTTAATTTGCTCTTGGTTTTTCTGACTTTGACTATTAGAATGGGACACCGGCTACAAAATATTAAATCAAAATATTATTTAATTATATTATTATAAATTAATGTTAATCCAATTAAATTTCCCAAAGCTATAATTATATCAAATTGATCAATAAGATGTCTAAATTTAAATCATGTAATAATTCTTTATACGTTAAAAGTTATAACCAATATCAGATAAATAATAATTGATAAAATTCATACAGTAACCAAACAAAAATTATTTAATGTAATTAAGTTCCTATGATTTAATTATTAGTTATAGCATATAATTTTCTTGAATTCTCATCACACTATGTATAATATATTGATATTAATCTATGTAAATTAATAAGAATTTTGGAATATTTTGTTAATTGTAAAAAAAAAAATGTATAATTATACATTATTGATAAAACTTTGACTATGCTTATTAACAACATAATTTACATACATTAAACTATGGATTAAAGTATTTAGAATTAGTATATTTAAATTTTAAAATAATTGACATATTGAATTAGTTTGAATAATTCAAAAGAAATTAAAAATAACCTAATATAAAATTAAAAATAAATAAAATTACTTTAATATAACAATAGTATATATTAAAAACACACTACCATATTACAATAAAAATTTAAGAGTTATCACCCACATATATACACAATTGAAGCTAAAATCTAGACTTAGTAATTATTTTAATAATTAAAATATTAAGGGGGGGAATTATTTAATGATGTACCTCAAAAACCTTTGACGTGTTTAAGATTCGAGGCTGTTAGCGCCGCATCCATGATCAACAATACAGCTTCCGATCACAATCTGCCTTTTTTAAATTACCTATAGAATACGCTAACAACTTTTTAGGCGAAATGAAATTAATGATTTCATTTTTGTACTGTTTATTATTAACAGTGACTGTAAATAGGTTATTTTTAAAATTTTTTAAGAACTTACATAAAAAAATGTAATGTTACCTAATTAAACATGAAATAGATTTGGAATACTAACCGTTTCAGCTTTATTCATAAGCTCCAACCTTTGTTTCCCTTTTTCGATGCGACGATCAACATCATTTAATAAACTAGTAGCAAATGCCACAAATTCATCTTCATATTGCATTTTAGAACGGCTACTAGCTTCATTATATTGTGTTTTAGCTTCTTCACAGTGAACTTTCGGACAAGCTCCAAGATCAGCACGGGTATTGACAAACAGATCGTGAGGACAAAATTTAACCATAAAGTATTTACAAAACTGAAAAAAAATATGTATAAAAAGGCACAAAATAAATACAAATTTTTAAATTTTGAAAAAGATATCTTGTATTGATCAAAAAATTGAATTCCAACTTATAATTCATAAACCAATAACAATAAAGTGTAAAATAATTTCTTTAAAAACAATATAATAAGAAGTTAATAAACATAAATTTAGTCAAAACCCTGCTCAAAATAAGTTTCACTACATTAATTTCAAATAGATATAACTCTTATGAATCATCAATTAATGATTTGACTCAATTAAAACGTAGTTATCAGACATTTACCTCTTCTCCAGCATTTTAACTAGAGAAGGCTTTCAAATATTCACATTTAAAAAATATTTGAACAGTTTGAATAGCTTAAGCATAAAAAATTTGAAATGTTTGAACACAATAGCAGTTTAATTTTAATTATTTTTTGAAGAATAGTCACTGTAATACCACTATTATGTTTTAAAATTTTTATTGTTAGATCTTTAAATGTTTATCAGTTCAAATTAAATCAAGATTTCGGTTTAAATTTGAAAAACTGAAATTTGTCCCATCTCTAATTTTAATATTTTTAGATAGAGACAAGAAAAATAATTAATTAGGCTTAGGTTATCTGAAAATTAAAATTAATTGGGAGAAAAACATCCACTTTGTTAAGTGAAGTAAAGATAAATATTTCATTATCATTCTCAAAACGTATAAAATAATATTTCATTGAAAGAAAATCACAAAGCTATATTGATTTTATAAAGCTAACGCTGACCCATAATTTGTTAAAATTATTTCACCTATTCAATAAGGAAATATTGTATTATGTTGACATAGCAACGAATCGTAATTAACCATAATAATAATTTACCTCAGGATCTTCCCAATGTACAGGTTTCTTCTGAGCATTGGGACCATCGTTCCGATTTCTCCCCATAAGTTCATCGAGTAACGCAGCAGCTGCCGATACTGCCATTATGTAATTATATAATCAATAAATAACTAAACGTCAGAATCGATGTGCATAAATCTAATTGACAAAATGCGTGAATAATTGTATTCGAAGACAATGATTTAACTTGATATCGTGTAAATAAAAAATATTATGTTCGGTTACTGAATTGGTGAAAAAAATCAAATTTAAGGAGTTAGAACAATAAGAAACAACACAGCCAACGGGCTAAGATGTCCACCACACTCCACGGGTGCAATAGCAAAGAATTGTTATCTTTGAAAGGTGAGCTCAAGCTGGTCGAATGTTTAATACTTAAATCCATTCTGTCTCCTGTAACCATAGAGTAATAAAAATGGGTTTCATTATATTATAAACGATGATAACGTTTCAGACGTTTCAGTTGGTTCTCGGCGTCGTCCACTCTTACCACCATAGACCAAGGGGGATGTAAAAAAATATACCTATCCACCTAACCGCAGTTATACAGCATTTAAAATCATAGATACACCCATAAATCGTTTCTATTTTTTTTTTCAAATAAAGTTCAATCAATATAAATAGTAAATTGTTTTATTATAATTCACACATTAATTATTGTTCCGTCCGTAATCAAAATATTATTTTGTATATTGAACGAACAGTGATAACCTGGTTTTTATAACGTCCGATTTTTATTTACATAAAACTATGATCAGATAATTTATTTAATAATAGCACAGAATAATAATTCTGTGATAATAGCAGATAATGTAGATAGTTTGGAGTTATCTCAGTTATCTGAACATTCTGAACATCTGAACCTTCAGTTTTGTTTATTATGCACTAGTTAATAGTTATGCAATTATGCAAAGTAAACGTTTTTAAAACTTAGTCGTATTTCTTAAAGTAATAATGTTCGTTTGATGTCAGTTGCTGGTTGTATTTTAAACTTGTTACGTATAAAATTAATCGACTAATCATATAGTTTGTTAAAACTAAAATAATTAAATTAAATGGAAGAGACTAATGCACCATTCCATAGTACTACAACATTGGTGTTACGCCCACAAGTAAATGATGGCCAAGTGGTACATTTAAAATTAAAGAAACCCAAAAAGAGTCACAAACAGGTTAGTTGGGATGCACACGCTGTAGACAATGAGCACTTAAACAAGAAAAAAAGCAAATGTTGTTGTATTTACGAAAAACCAAAAAAATTTGGAGAACCTGATGCAGACGAAAGCAATGACAGTGACAATGATGAATGTGCCAGTTGTGTGGGTAGTAAAAAAACACATCAACTGCACAAGCAGGAGAACAATATCGAAGAACCTAAAGAAGATAGTTGTTAAAATACGTATTAACGTATCTTTGCATTAATTGTAAACTTGTATGTATAAAACTATTTAACCATATAATTTTCTTTTTTTATTCCTATTTAGTTTGATCACAATCACCTATTTGGTTGAATTATAACATTTATTTTTCTAATTAAAAGTTTGTTGTTATACAATTACTTTTAATTTATATTTTATTGAAGATTTAATATATATACAAACTATATTATAGTTGTAACTTGTTACATTTTTATTCAACTAATATTATTAGGATAGTAATTTAAAAGTTGTTAAGAATTTTATAATGTGTATATTACAAATTATGTGTGAAGAATTATGAGATATTTTATTTGAAATAAAATCTGGTAATATTCAAGAAACATAATATATTTTATAAAATTTCTATCTTTGGTAAAGCAAATTGTTAAATTTGATGAGATGAAGTGTATATTGGTTGAAAAATGATCTTTTCTTTAGATTAAAATGCTCGGATGAAATCGATAGCAACTAGCAAGAATACAAGTTATTTCAGCAACTTTAGTCATAAAAATGACCACTACCTGTGTCAAAAGATATCTAAAAATTATAGCCAATGATAGTACAATTCAATGTGAAAAGTGATAAGGAACTACATGGGTACACAATAATTAGACTAATTATAGTGTATACTTATTTATCATAATTTCATTACAATAAATAAAAGTGTCATTTAATACTTTTTAAATACTCTTTTCAAGTATAGAATAATAAAAGAGCTTCACTCATAAATTACTCTTGTTCAAACTTATTAACATCGCTTCAATTTGAATCTTAAACTGAATAGATATGTTTTGGGTTTTGGGTTAGCAAATCATTTGAGATTGATATTTGGCATGAGCACATTTTTATTGAAATATTGAAATATTATGCAATGTGTACACTGTACATCAATTATAACCTACTGTTTAGAATCATGAAATATACATTTTAAAATAAAATTAAAAAACAAATTTAGTTTAAAATGAAATATTTTCTTTTAATTACAATAATTGTTATTAAAATTATTTTTAAATGGTAACAATAACTTAAAATATACTTGAGCATTTATAATTTTATTATAATCCAAGTTTTTTTTTATAAAATTATTAACGGTATACATTTTTCAAGGTAGTAAACAGATATAATATAAAAAAAAATAAATAGAACTAAGATTTCAAAAATGTTAGAATAAAATAAATGCAGTATGTTAATTAATTGGAAATTATTATGGTGATTAGTCTCCTTTTTAAAAGGATTAACAAAAATATTTGATTAAAAATATATTGAAAAAACATTATTGTCAACTTTCTAATAGATGACACTCAACGGTATTTTGCTGAGTATAGGTATTTATGTAATCACATGAATAATGAAATAGTAATATATGCCTAAAAAAAAAGAAAGTAACAATTTGTAGTTTATAATACAATTCAACATACTGTGTAATCGTAACTAGGAAATGTTGACATTTGATCGCTAATAATGACTAATATTTTGATGAAATAATTTATTTGTAATATAAATATCATAATTGGAGAACCTCTAAAACTCCTCCAACAAGCTTTAATGAACCAGTTACTAATACTTGAAAATTTATATTTTTTTCAGAAGAGCTACAAATTTTAACATATTCGATAGTTTCTTGGATAGAATTAAATACTTCTGCATCACAAATATCTATAGAATTTTTCATATTGTAACATTTGACTAATTGTTCTTCGTAATTGAAATTCATATCAACAGTATCTGGAATAAATAATAATAATTACAAAAATACATGCAAGTTATTAAATTATCTAGAGTTTATTTAATCTATGTAAATTTTTAATGTATGTAGTATGCAATAAAAGAACACAGATTTTTAATGAAAGACTAACAGTTATGACAAATTGCATAAAAATGTATTCATTTTAAGATTAGATGAACCATTAAATGAACATTATTGGTTCATTGAATATTTATTGATAACATAAGTAACCCAGTATTAGTATTGAAAGTAGCCAAATAAAAATTAAGTAAAGTTGGTTCTGACAATAACTAAGCCAAGTTATTAATTAGATTACTACAAGCAAAAATATAATTAATACTATAATAGGTAGAAAACTCTAGAGTAATAAAAATAAGTATAAAAAAATTACATTATTTTATTTAACAGTAATTTTTAATTTAATTCTAAACCATCATAGTAAGCAAATGCTATTTGTTTACTCCTATGCCAAACCAATATAAATAGTATAGTTAAAAATAGATACCTGGACGATGATTATTTATCAATGTAACTATTGGACATAACAAAACTAAATCTATTTTGTTTTCTGTTAATAGTATTTTTAAAAATACAGAGTAATCTCTTAATGCTGTGACATTAAATATTAAAATATTTTTTATATTCCTGAAAATAAAAATAAAATTATTTAGTTGATAAATCCACACAATTTGGTAGGCTTAAAGTATAAATACATGTTTTTTGAATACAACAAAAAAAATCAGTATCTAATCAGTATACTTAATTAAATAATTGTTTAAACATTGACTTAGTAAAAAAAAAATATATATATATATATATAAATATTTTATTTTTTATTATTTTAACTTACAATTGAGACTTTGGACAAACATTTTGATACCATTTACTACATAACTGAATACTCTCAATTGTATGGGCTCCATCCAAGAAATATGATAAATTGGGTGTCATGTTTAATATTTGATTGCGACCAAGCCACTTAACATTTCTTAATGCTTGCTTATCTTGTTTATTAATTTCCCAGATTGGAGCTTGTTTCATACCATTTAACCCAATTTTGCATTCTTTTAACCAGTCTAAAATAAATTCTAAATAGTTATTGGCATATTTTACTAATCCTCTAAAATATTGTTTATACAACATTAAGATTTATTATCTGTTTCAAATTTGAAAATATATCATTCAGTTGGTTACTAAATAATTTGTATAAATAGCTACTTAATTGTTTCAATCTTCACAGTCTATTCTGATTAATGATTATTAAATACTATTTAGATTTTTTTTTTAAAGGAACATGTATTTTCTGATACAATATAAAAGCACTAACCTGTTGCATGAATCAATTTTAGTTATTATTGTAGAAACCTAATAGTAATTAATGTTGACATTTATGAAAATTATTTAATACTAACCGTATTTATTGTTACGATTAATCCATGCATTAGCCAATTGAATAGCAAGTGATGCGTTTATCTCCTGTGCTGTACTTAATATTCCTAATTCTGAAGTATTTTCATACCAATTGTACTTGTTAAATGGTGGAGCTTCCAATAATGTCGTCTAAAATTATAGCAAGTAAATATAAAATTAATATCAAAATTTTCATTAGCAGTAAAGTTTATACAATATCTATTAATTTAAATAAATTAAATAATTATAGGTTTTTTGTTAAAGTAGATCATAATTTACTTGCCTGCTTTTCAACACTACGTTCAATTAACGTTTGATGTGTTTCTTTAGGTTGATCATTAGCGACAATTGTTACAGAATTAGGCTTCATGATTCCACTTTTTTGCCAAGCTATTTCTTTTAAAGTATTTCCTAATACAGTTGTGTGATCAAATCCTAGTGATGAAATTCCAACAACTGATGTTTTTCTATAATTATTTGTGTATTATTTTTTCAAAAAAATACAATAAATAATTGATATTTAAGTAATAACGAACTAATAAACACCTTAATATATTTGTACAATCATATTCACCACCAATTCCAGTTTCTATAATTGCAACATCCACTTTTTCATTTACAAACATTTTATATGCCATAACAGTCAAAAACATGAAATAAGCTGGTAATTCTTCTCCATTACTCTAAAATAATAAGATTAAATTTATAAAAGATTAAAAACAAATCTTCTAGCAAACGTCATTGAAATAATGTATTTAAAAAAGTAAATGATATCATTTAATTTATAATTTAGAAAATTTAATTTACTAACAAGCAATATTTAAATAGTATTTTAAACAAAAAATAAAAATAAATCTTACTTTCTTTGATAATAGTGTATTGTAAACACTCCAAAAATAAAACACAAACTTATCATCAGAAATGACTTTTCCATCAATTCTAAATCTTTCCTTGACAGAGATTAAATGTGGAGAGGTAAATAAGCCAATCCGATAACCTTTATGCAATAATAATTGTTCACAAAATACACACGTAGATCCTTTTCCTTTCGTCCCAGCAACATGAATGACTGAAAGTTGATCCAAGTCATCATAACTCACACCGCATCTATTTTCATTTATAGCCTTCAGAACAATTTATATTAGCTACCAACACCAAGTTAAATCTACTAAATTGTGCTTAAACATTTTTAATAGTTTTAACTAATTACCTATTTAAAAATGTGTTCACCTGTCCTAATTTCAAATTCCCTGGATGACGAGTTAACTTGGAATTAAAGCTTTGCAGAGAGTTTAACATTTTGACTGCATCCTATAAGAATTTGTAATTTAAATTATATTACAATTATTTATAATAATAAACATGCAGTTTGATATTCAATAAATTTGGTAAACCAAGCTTTTAGTTAGTTGATCTTTACTATTCAACTATGATTGCTTAAATTTAAATAATACTTAATAATAATTTACTATTTTCCCCTTAGCCACAATATAGCTGTTACATATGTATATAATTCTGGAAAATTTCAAAAATCTTCAACATATAAAATCATAGTTCTTTCAATCAATAATCCTCAGATCAATAAAAAAATGCCCTAATTTAGCTATTTGCTATATACGAATAACAATGTGTTATTTAAAAATATATCTACGTAGTATCAAATTTCTTTTTTTATTTATTTGTCATTTTTAGATAATAAGTAGCTAGTTACAAAAAAAAAAATATTACAATACGCTTCCAGATAAAATTTTAAGATAAAAAAGTTTGACAACATATTGTAAAAACTACTAATTTTTATGTACTGAGAGTTAATAATTATGATAAAAGAGCTAACGCTTAACTACTAAAAATGCATTGATATTTTATTGAATTTTTTAATCTACTGATTAATAAAATAAACTTGAAAATGAGTATTAGCAGTATACTGATTTAAATAAAAATGGAACAATTATAGCTTTGACAAATTTTAAGAGTGTTAAAAAGACCCAACAATACACTATATTTAATGTATAGCAATTCAATTTAATGAAAACTATCAAAATTATATATTGAAGATATAAGTCTGGTTTAGATATGTAATTTAATTGCTAATGGTATAAAATTTAATTCAAAAATACTGTTGAAGAAATTTAAGTAAAAACCAATTTTAAACAATTATAATATTTTATTTTTATTTTAACAAGTTGCAAGGATTTAATAAATAAAAACAATAATATAATAGTTCTAAATTCTATCACTGCTTTTAAAATAAACAGATATCCATCATTTCCATTCAAAACTAATAATAAAGCAAAAAAAAAAAAATTTAAATGGTAGTTTATTGATAAAATATTATAATGTACACATGGACGTAGTTAATCTATTCTATGGTTAAAGGGAAGCGCCTCTAACAGGTGTCATACTTATCATTTGAACAATCATATTAATGATGTAAAATATATATATGTATGTATGTATGTGTGTGTGTGTGTAATCGTGTGCACAGTGCGAATGTGACAAGTACAACATATACATATATAATAATATATACTATTTGTGACTAAAATATCACGTGCTAGTATGCTACCCACACTCGTGGCGTATGTGTATAAATATAATGTTAAAATGAAGTACAAAAATTGAGTTTTCTTACGTCGTACGAATTCGAACCGACGTCGTTATTGTTAATACTCATTTTTCTCCTTTTGATAGCACCAGAAACGTTTAAACAAATACTTTTCAAAAGCTTACAATTATTGACACACGCCGAGGACATTATACGCAACACTGTATTATATTTTATGATGTACTTAACACTTAACAGGAATCTGGCGTAGTATTGTAGTAATAGTAACAGGAAATACAATATTATTACGAAAGAAATAATGAGATTCACATGATAGACGATCATTTATCGGTGCAAAGTGCAAATTACGTTAGAAAAAAGGGCGGGACTCGTTATAGGTTATGAAAATAACTAATGTTATTTACTTAGGTACCTCTGGATCATATCGCTCAAAATGTATTATCGGCTGTGTATCAGCGCCTTTTGAGTTTCGTCATTTTAGGAAACCACGGTACGTCAATCTGAATATTTGATTATTATTATCACCCTCATCATCACTCATCGCGTAGATATAATTATAATATATAATAGTTATACGTATATACTATATCCATATTTATTTTCGTACGGGGACATCGTCGCCTCGTCCGGTGTGCGACTGTGCAATATAGCAATATATTCTATTATTTTAGTAATAGGTATTACCACAGAGCCGAGAACCGACAAAGTGCATTGACAAGTTGCCCAATACGGTCGATGTTATAACATTATATTCTACCCTTCGAACATAACAGTTTTTATACGATCTTGACATTCAAATAGAATTATTATTATTTATTTAGTAGGTGTACGCAAGACTTGTACACCGATCGATCAACTATGGATAAAAAAAAAAAGTTCTTTAGAAAAGGCGATACGATTTTAATCGATAAACCGTTCGTTCACGCACTAAAGTCGACGTT